ACAAAAATAATTGAGATAAGCATCAACCGCAGAAAAATATCACAGAACTCTAGATAAGCTGGTGTTTGTATGCAATTAAGAATACACATATATTAATTAATACTTTTTCTTTTCTCTGCAAAGAAAAACAAAGGGAACCACAAGCAAACAAACAAAAACATATTAATCACTAGCCCAATTATACAAAACAACAAGAAATACACCAACAATGGGTATAAGTCTATACGTACGTGTGTATACGCAATTATAAATATAAATTCATCTCTTATTATTATTATTATTTCCTTTTTTTTCCACTGCAAAAAGCAATTCATCATCATTATCATAGTGCAAGCCCAGGCACACACACAGAGAGTCTCCAATAACACACACACACACAATGGAGTAGCAATAATAATAATTATAGGATAAACACACAGAGAGCAAAAACACAATAACATTCAGAAACAAAAAAAAAGAAGAGAAAATCCCAACAGGTGGAAGATTAGTTAGACTTTAGTGTGGATGTGTGCAAGAAAAGAAAAAGAAAACAAAGGATGACCTGAGTTACACCACACCACCACATCACAATCAGCACACAAGAATACAGGCCAGTGTAACCACAATCAGTAGTGGTACACGCACCCACACAGAACTGCTCATACTGCTGCTGCTGTCTGCATCACCCTTCTTGTTATTTGCAGTCTCAGGAGGAAGTGTTGTTGTGGTTGTTGTGGTGGTGGTAGTAGTTGATTCTTCATTATTGGTTATAGTGTCATCCGCAGTATTTGCAGTTCCTTCTGGTGAGGGTGATGCAGGAGTCCCAGCAGCATCGGCAGCAGATTATTGTGTTCCATTAATTTCTTGTGGTTGTGGAGTTGTTTGGGCAGAGGATTCTGTATTGGGTGTAGTATCATTACTTTTAGGTTCATCGTCTCCTGTAGTTGTAGGCCTTTGCACTTCCATAGTGTTCTGTTGCGACTGTGCAGTACCAAGGTTACTTTGTGGACCCGCTGGTTGCTGCTGGGCCGGCAATTCAGTTCCTTCGATGGTACTGTCATCATGGCTACCATTACCCGGTGGTGGTGGTGGTGTAGCATCTCTCTTGATTGCCTCAGTTCTCCTCTCACCTGACTCACTGGATACTGGCTGCTTCTGTGTATTCTTTGCTTGTTCAGACACCACATCCGTTTGATCGACACTGTGATCTTGTACAGGAGGAGGAGGAGAAGATAGGACAGTTTCCGGTTTACTCGCGTTGAACGGACTTTGAACTTCTAATGTGTCACCTGCCTTTTGTTCCATCACCTTCTGCTCTCCATCCATCTCGTTCCTGTTCAAA